TAACAGACATCCAGAGTACCTCGTGTCTCGCGTATTCCCCACCGTCTCCTACTCGCTCGAACGCTCCGGTGTCCCTCCATCATTCATCCCTCCCACCCCAAAACGTTCGCCACCTTCGTGGCGACCGTCCTCGTCACGCTCGTCTACCTCACCCCCGCGCGCGCCCACCTCTCCATCGCTTTGGAAGAATGGGCCCTGGAACGTGTCTTCCTTGGCGCGCTGATTATCTCATCCAAGTACACCAACGACAGCACCCTCCGTAACGTCCATTGGGCTCTGTGCACTGGTGTATTCGGCAGGATCGCGTGTGATTTGCCGTCGTTGACGGCTCCCCTCACTTTTTCGAGTTCAATGCCGACCGGCGGTCGACACCCGCGGACATTCGGCACGCGCCCCGCCCCTTCACCTGTCTTTGGGCATGCACTGGCAGGGACGGTCTTCTCCCGAGTCCCGAGTCATATCCCTCGTCGCACCAATAAGGAGCTCCGCATCCGCATCCGCGTCTACATACATCGGCACACCATCTTGAGTATTACATCTAATCTCAGTCATCTGTGGTCTCCTTTTAATTTTTTTCGAGTTTTTTCCGTACTACAGTCTGACTCAGACGACTAGCTCCTTCCTACCATGGAGTCCGTGGTTCCGTGCGCAAGATACTCGTTGTACGCTTCAGAACGAGGCGTTAGACTTGTATATGCAGTCATTTCAAATTTTAACATTGCAGTTGTCTGACTTCTTTCCTGCGAGCCTTGAAATAGAGGATCGGCTATCGACTAGTCACGTGGTCATGCCCTCTTTGAATCTCCCGCCATTTCGCATGAGCACCATGGTGCCACTGTTGTCGGAACGCTGCGGCAATAGAACAAACTCCAATGAGGACAATCCTCTCACCTTCATCAGCATAAATGCGCAAACTGAAGCCTCTCGCCGCCCACTCCAAACCCTCTCGCCGAAAAGACCATGCTACCTCGCTGGCTGACGTTGACTCTCGTGCTGCTCTGCGCGCATCTTGTGCATAGTTTCTCTTTTGGCGGGCTTGTCTCTGGACCATTTGCGTCCCTCGTCCGCAGTACCGCGCCGCTACCAGACTTGTACGAGGCCTCGATAGCGGAGCTCCAAGCAGGACTCGACGCGGAGCAGTTTACGAGCGTTGACCTCGTCAAGGTGTGCCGACTGTATCTTGCCGAATCATTGCTTAGAGTCGACTTCTTGGGATATAGGCGTATTTTGCTCGAATCGAGGAGGTCAATCTCAATGGACCTGCACTGCGTGCTGTGCTCGAGATGAATCCATCCGCGCTGGCGGAGGCCGCTAAACTCGACCAAGAGCGCAAGATTTCGGGGAAGCGAAGCACGCTGCATGGGATTCCGGTGCTGCTCAAGGATAATATCGCGACAGTCGCGTCGGAGGGTGAATGGCATTCCTTTTTCCTCTTCACCTTGAATTGATTATAAACTGGGTTGTTAGGTCTGAACACGACAGCAGGGTCCTTCGCTCTGCTCGGTTCGGTCGTTCCTGAGGATGCTGGAGTCGTCAAGCGGTTGCGCGCTGCGGGGGCTGTCATCCTGGGAAAGGCTAACCTCTCAGAGTGGGCTCATTTCCGCGGGAACGTATCCTCCGGCTGGTCAGGCCGCGGAGGGCAGAGCACCAATGCATACTTTCCCAACGCGGATCCGTGTGGCTCGTCCTCTGGCTCGGGGATAGCTGCCTCTATCGGCCTCGTCGCGGTGGCGCTGGGCTCAGAGACGGATGGGAGCATTACTTGTCCGAGCAGTAACAACAATCTTGCTGGGATCAAACCCACTGTGGGGTTGACCTCGCGCGCTGGAGGTTCGTTTACTTATGTTCGAGCCTGCTTTCTGAACTCAACCATCCAGTCGTCCCGATATCCGACCGTCAGGACACCGTCGGTCCCTTGACGCGCTCTGTCACCGACGCAGCCATCGTGCTGTCTATCATCGCCGGCAAAGACCCAAACGACAACTTTACACTCGCGCAGCCGCCCATCGTGCCCGACTTTACCAAGGCCCTCGATAAGAATGCGCTCCGCGGCAAACGCATCGGCGTCCCTCGGCGCGTGTTTCTCAATGACTCTCTCACGGGCAACGATCCCTCGCTGGGCGTTGCTTTTGAAGAGGCGTTGAATACTATCCGGGCATTGGGCGCGACGGTTGTTGATCCTGCCGATTTGCCGTCCGCGGAGGACTTTGTGACGTCGAATAATGAGACTATTGTGTCGAATACGGATTTCAAGGTCAGTTCGATTCAACGCGGCTTGACGTGGACCTCACCTGGATGTGCAGGTTCAAATAAATGCCTATCTTGCCGCTTTGCTCAAAAACCCCTCCGGCGTGCGCACTCTTGCCGATTTAATCAAGTTTGATGACGCGAATCCGGAACTGGAAGAACCCACTGATTTTGAAGATCAATCCCGGTTTATCGAGTGCGAAGCAACGACGGGGCGCAACGCATTCTACTTTGCTGCTTTAGCCGCAGACCACGACATCGGTAGTACGCGTGGAATTGATTTCGCGCTCAAGACGTTCAAACTTGATGCGTTGGTTTTACCGGCTCCGGGAAAGCTGACAAGGTCGATTGCTGGTACGATTTCGCTTGGTTTGTTGAGCTTGATTGACTGACTATTCGTGCAGGTGTTGTCGGATATCCTATCGTCACTGGTTAGATTGTTACTTGGCCGTACATGCTGAGAGCTCACACGCTTGCACAGTTCCAATGGGATTCTACCCCGAAAATGTTACGTGAGTCCACACCCCAATATTCCCTCGTACCCTTGTCTGAAAACAACCCAGGATCGGCTCCGCGGGCCCAGAAACTGTGTACCCAGCCCCAGGCGTCCCGTTCGGCCTCTCCTTTTTCAGCACTGCCTTTTCAGAGTTTGATCTCATCGGATTCGCGTTTGCGTATGAACAAAAGACACAGACTAGGTTGGCGCGCAGGGCGTTTCCGGCGGCAATACCCAAGACGCAGCTGGTGGATGTTATTGGGAAGTGACGAATATCTTCTTTGTTTGATTTATTTACGGTTCAAGTGTTTGTGTACAAAGAATGTAAGACTGTTTCTCGGGATATCCGCGCCGGTCCGCCTCCTGTTCCGCGGAAGCAATGTCTTGATTGCTGCCCCTGTCTCTGAAAACTTGCATAAAAGACGGCACTCATTCGAGACGTCGGCCACAACCTGCCACATCCTCTTCTCCCTTCTACTTCCACCACACACCACGAATTACCATGCCCCCACTCACCCTCCCTCCCTCGCTCGGCCTCGTCGACGCCAGCACAGCCGAAGCCCTTACCCAAACGTCCGCAGCCGGGAGCCTCGCAAACATGATAGTCGACTGTGTCCCGGAGTGGATAATCTACATCGTCATCATCCTCTTCGTCTGCGGGCCCCTGATCTATTGTCGTTGGTGTATGGTGCGTATTTGAACACTCATCTCTCCCGACTTTGAAGCGAACTCATGTGAATTTAAAGGTACAGGAAGACGATACCCGCCCTGACTCTGAAAGAGCGAGACTCCTATCTGCACCTGTGGACAATGAGACATCGGCAGTATTCGTCGAGCGTCAGCATGCGGTCCCCGTCATGGCGGGGCGTCATATGCATACATCCCAACCGAGCCATTCACCCATCTTGTCTCCTCCGCGTAGTGGCGCGAGGTCGTGAGAGCTCGAGGTAAGCGTCTTTTCATTCAACAAGAACAAAAAAGCTGACAGGACATCAAGGAAACCGCTTCGACATAAATGACTTGGAAGTTTGAATCACTGCTATCCCATCTGTACATCCTTGTATCCTCAGAGAACTCATGAAATGAAATATGAAAGTAACATTCCATGACTCGCATGAGAAAGAGAAAAAGGCTCGGTCTGAATTACCCGTTCGTCGGCGCCGGGCGGCACAGGCTGCGGATCAAATGTTTCAGATCGGTGCTTCATGACATGCCGCTCTTGCTCCGCTCTCTCTCGGTCTCCACTGCCCGCCATCGCTTAAGTACATAACCGCGGCAAATTTGACTGACTCTCTCCTTGTCTCTCGCCTTCCGTCACCATGTTTCTGGCACCCATTCTCGTTGCTGCTGCCCTCCCTGCCTTGGCCGCTGCTGCCGTTCCATCTCTCAACGTCCCCGCATGCCCCTCCAAAGGCTCGGTCTCATACAACAAATCCGTGCCCGACCTAGGCCCCTTCCCTCTCACCCAAGTCGACGTCTGCTACGACTCTACCGCCATCCATATCACATTCACCGCACACAACGAGACCAACTTTTTCGTCAACCCCAATTTCACGACCAACGACCCGATATACGAGTACACCGCAATGGAGACCTTTATTTCGAGGACTACGAACGACCCCACGACGTATCTCGAGTTCGAGATCGCGCCGAATAATGTGACGTTCCAGGCGTTCATATATAATCCGTCCAAGGTGTGTCACCTCTTCCTTCGTGCTTCTTCCATGCTCAAGTTTTATTATTAACATGCTCTTTCACAAGGTCTCCGGCCAAGACACGTTCTACATCACCACCCCGATCGACGACGGGCTGACCGCCACCACCACCGTCGACAAACCCGCCGGTCTCTGGGTCTCCGCCGTCCGCATTCCCCTCGGCCTCTTCAACGTCGATGACGGGCAGGCAAAGGGGACCCAGTGGCGTATGAATTTCTTCCGTATCATCACGTCGCCGAAGACGTTCCCGGACCAATTCTACGGAGCGTGGAGCCCGACGCCTGGGAGCCCTGCGGTACGTCCTTTCCTTGTTTCGATCTGTGCAGGAATTCTGACTGGTAGGGTAGAATTTCCACCAAACAGCGGAACTTGGGCATATCACTTTTGTATGAACCGGGAGTGGATTGTAGAGACGACTCAATCGCAGTTTATGTATTAATTAGGCCAGCGTCTCAAATGTCACCGGTCGGCTTGTCTTCGAGGGGAAAACAGAACGGCGGACGCTCTGCAGAGAAAAACAAAAGTTAAATGCCACCACCGAATGCTTTGGGAGGGAATCGAACCCCCGGTGGGTCGAGATTCACTGGAGGAATCTCTCAATCCATGGCAACGACCCAGGTTACCACTACCCCACCAAAGCTTGATAGGGGCATCCTCAAATGTTGGTGCAGAGTCTAGGCGGCTGAGGAGGGCTGAGGAGAACTTGGAGACATGCAGACACAAATGTCCGTACCCACGTGCCAACTTGGCCGCTTGTCTTCTTCCGTCACCTCAAAGGTTGCTCGAAGGTGCTCGACAGCTCGTCTCACTGCCTCACCTTCCTTGGCTCTTCATTTTGAAAGCCGGAGTGCTGGACTTACTTACTAATAGAGCATGTCTCTCAAACGGCGGGGTGCCACTGCCAAGCCACTAGATTATAAGCTACTGCCCAAGAGCTCTCCTCACCTCTGGATTCTTCAAGTCAGCTGCCAGGTCATGCCTCGACGCCTCCTCTAACCGCGCTGTGAAGCTACTATAGTCTGGGGCCACTGCCAAAAACCAGTCAGGCTACGGTACAAATGCAGCTCCCGCCAATGATTGACAGAGCCAGCGCCGATTCAGCTCTCGCAGTGCCCATCGACTTGCCCTCTTATCGCATGGCTTGGACCGCCTGCTCGTCGATTAAACTCTCGACTTGCCCTCTTGTTGCATGGCTTGGACCGCCTGCTCGTCGGTCTACATGCTTCTGAATGTCGTCCGAAGATGCCATCTGCATCGGTATTCATACTTCAATATCCGAGGATTCCGTCAAACTCGCTCGCGAACCAAGGGCTATAAAACAGGACGCCGGCACCTCGCCCACAACTCATTAAAGATGCCCAGCACCCTGTACCGGCTCTTCTTTTTCCTATTCACCGCGTCTGGTGCCCTCTCCTGCGCCACAGAATGCAAATGTACCTCCAAGGACTCGTGCTGGCCAAGCACCCTAGAGTGGGCCCACCTCTCCTCGCAGCTTTCTCGTCCCATTTTCCACGTCCAGCCCCTGGGATATCACTGCCACAACCCGCACTTTGACGACAAAGTGTGCGCCGAGGTGCAGGCCAATAGTCTCGATCCGATCTGGCGCCCAGACCAGCCGGGCGCCGCCCAATACGACAATTTGGAATTCACGACTACCTCCCAATGCCTCGTTCCGGGCAATCGTATTGCGCTCTGTGGCCAAGGACGGGTGCCGACTCTCGGCGTCAATGCGACCACCGTGTCTGATCTGGAGAAGGCCCTCAAATTCGCGTATGAACGCAATCTCAAGGTTCACATCAAGAACACGGGGTAAGTGCCTTCAATGGTATCGACTGGCTCTTACATTGTAATCGTAGACATGACTTTCTCGGTCGCGGCCTCGGACCAGGCTCACTGATGATTTGGGTCCATCATTTTCGGTTCACAGAGTTCAGTGCGGAATTCAGGTACGCTGGCGGGCAGCATGGGGGGTTCCCCGCTGTCAGCGTCGGTCCAGGGACTCAATGGGCTGACGCCTTTGCGTTCGCTGCCGCCAACGAAGTTGTGCTTGCGGGGGGCATCGGCGCTTTGGGTTCCGTAGGCGCTGCAGGTGGCTGGCCCATGGGCGCCGGGCACAACATTATTTCCCCAGCCATTGGCTTGGGTGCGGACAACATCGTTGAAATCGACCTCGTACTTCCCAATGGAACGCTTGTCACTGCGAATCAGTATGAGAATACCGACCTCTTTTGGGCTGTCCGCGGCGGAGGTGGTCCATCCTTCGGCACCTCCGCCCGTCTCGTCTACAAAGCACACCCCAGGATGCCTCTCTACGCCGCCTTTTTCGAAGCCAACGCTGCAACTTCGAGCGCGTTCGTGTCCCTGCTAGACACTTGGCACGCCCACTTGCCCTCCATCGCTGAGGCGGGTTGGTCGGGGTACTACATCTTCGTGGACGCCTCGTACCTCGCACTCATGTATTTACTTCCTCATGGCAACCCCGTCGTCGGGAACGCCACACTAGGGCCATTCATCGCCGACGCCAAAGCGATCTCAGGCGTGGACATCACGACAGACGCATCTCAGACATACCCCGACTTCAACAGTTGGTTGATGGCTAATATACAGGACCCAGTCAACGTGGTCGGGTACAACTTTTCGCAGCACACGAATCTCGTCGGACTCGGGATCGCGACAGCGTCAATCCTCCTCCCGAAGGAGGTATTCACCAATGAGACCAAGGCGCATCGGATGTCTGAAGCTCTCGCTGCAATGGCAGGCGGCATCGGCCAGTGCGTTTCTCGAATTCCTTTCCCATACTTGCTTTCATCGCAATGATTTCGCAGACACGTTGCCGGCGGGGTCGTCGCCGAAAAGGACATTGACTTTAACGCGGTTCACCCATCATGGCGCTCCGCCTTGGTTGATCTGGTCACCTACGACGCGTTTCCGGACGATACGAGCGAGGCGGAGATCGCCGCCCGTCGCCGCAAGCTCTCCAGCCTCGTCGACCCGCTGCGCGCTCTAACGCCTGGGGTCGCGCAGTATCTAAACGAGGTGAGTGTTCAATCCATTCATATTGCTTCGCTCATACATCGAAATTCGCAGCCCGACTTCCTCATCCCAGACTACCCCTCTGCGAACTGGGGCTCTCACTATGAACGTCTGCTCCGTATCAAGCAGAGCATCGACCCGACGAACCAGCTTCTCGTCAAACAAGGAGTGGGTGCTGTCGGTTGGGATGAGGAGCAAATTTGTCGACTCTGATTTGAACTCGAACTTGTCTACTCGTTATTTACATGAAAGTCTATCTCGTAGGACATTGACAACAATGAATCCCACCACTGATGAATTGCCTTTTCTTGTGGTCCCGGTCTCCTCCCCACGGTTGAATGTACATAACTCAATTATGCCACAGCCGTGGTTCTAAACTTTCCACACTCGATTGGTAGAAAAAAGGACAAAACTTTCAAACGCGGAAGGAATCAATTAAGTCGACGTACACTATATCCAAGTAAATTGTAAGATAATCGGCTGTGGAGGGTATATGATGACTAGAACACGCCGGCGCCCTGCAAGCGTTCAACCAGCAGCTGGGCCAGGGCCTCAAAAGGATCGGTGTTGAGCGCGGGGTCGGGCGCGTCAGACTCGAGCCGCGAGGGAAGAGGTCCAAGATTCCTACAAAAATGTAAGCGAACGAAAGACATAGCAGACCGGCAGACTCACAAGATATCCTCCTTGTCTCGGCCACATTGGACGTGGATATGAATACCACCTTGCGCCAACTCGCGCAGCGCCTCTGGTACATTGCTGAAAGGGTCGGCACCTTTCTTGTACGTTAAACGCCTACAGTGGAGCCGAAGAGAGCGGAGGGACGCCGAGCGCTTTGCGACAAACTCGACAACGTGCGCATATCCGTCCTTCGCATGCTCAAAGTGCTCCTCGAGCTCCAATTTACGGAGGTTGGGCAGAGCGTCGGGTGCGGTGGTGGTCAGGAACTCGAGCAACGACGGGGGTTGGGTGTCGTACGAGGAGACGTAACCCTCCATCTTCAACTCGAGCTCTGTGAGAGCCGGTACGAGGCTGAGAAACGCAAAATGGCCTTTGTTCGCGTCGAATTTTGCATCCGAGCGAATCTTCAAGGTCCGCAGAGGCGGAGAGGAGCGTTGGAGAAAGCGGTGAAGGGTATCGGCGGACTCGGAGAAGGACGTGGTGAGCGTGACGAGGGCTGGAAGTGCAAGATTGTTGATGATATCGGGACCGTGCTTGACGGCGGATTCGAGACGAAGATGTTGTAAAGTGGCATGAGACGATTGCCGCTTTGGTCCCTCAAGGACCTGCATCACCATGGCGTCTTTATGCAGGATCCAAGCGCACTCCTCGAGCTGAGGAGCACGACCCACCAGATCAAGGAGATGATCCGCGGAGAAAAACGATTTTTCAAAGGCTTGACGAGCAAAGGTCACAGATTTGAGCCCGCGTAAAGTGTGTGTCTTTGCGCCGATATCGTAGTCCCAGAAACCGTCGATGCGCTCCAAACGATGAGCATCCTTCGGTCCAAACACCGACATAGGGCAGCCCACACGGCGAGTGGACACGGACACGGAAACATTCCCTCCGCGAGCGAGCCAAGTCTTGAACACGAGGGGGAATTTGGCTGGTACAACGCCCGTATCGCAGATATTGGTCCACAATGCCGGTGTAGCAAGCGCAAGCTCGCTCCACGCATGGCAAACGGACATGAGCTGCGTCAGCGCTCTCCAAGTAAGCGGTGCGGACGGATCAAACGCGTCAGAACCAAACTAACAGCTTTTAACAGGACCCGGTGAACGTCTACGACGTTTCGCAGCGTTTCGCAGCACACGAATCTCTTGGTACTCTTCAGGCACCAAGGGGACGAAGGCGCAGCGTTCATCGCATTCTTTCACGACGTCGCCGGCGGGTTTCCCTACGATAACGAGCGAGACCCTGGCTCGCCGACATTTTCCTCATTGCAATTCCGTATTGTTAGCGTAAACCACGCACCGACTGGGTGTGAACCATCCATTCCCAGGTGGCCGACGTCATCGAATCATCGAATCATTGTTGAAAGTGGATCAAACACATGAATTTGCCCCCGAGGCGCCCCATACCATACTCCGCCTTAGAGGTCAACATCTTACAAAGAGTGAGCCATCGGCAAGTCCGTTTTACCCCGTGCCCGAGGCTGGGTACAGTCAGTCAGTCATACATACCCCCAAAAAAAAGTGCACCACGCCCTCGACTCAACTAGAACTCAAATTACAACACGTTCTATTGAGAATCGTACATTGTGACAGATACATGTACAAGTAAACAGTAAGACAAAAAATAGTAAAGAAATTAACCTCACGATCAAGTAAACGCAGGACACAACGCGCGCGTAGCGGTAGTGAACGCAAACATCTCCTTATTAATGCCCGGGTTCTGTATCGGAGCGCTGAGGTTTGAGAGGAGAAGGTCTTCGTACTGCGTCTTGAGCATGCCTAGCTGGTATTCTGCGTGCTTTTCCGTCAGATCAACTTCAAACTCCAAGCGAAAAGAGCGGGGAAAATAAAAATAAAGAATTCGGCAACCCACCTTGCAACGCCGTACCTCCCGCGATCCCACGCATGACCTCGACCCCACGCCGCAAATCTGCCG